GTTGTTTTATGCAATCTGCCAGGTTTTCATACTGACAGTCTATATATCAGGCATCACACTGGTGTTGAATTTCATATCACTCATTTGTGTGATAGACACAATGTCTTTTTGACTGAATGTACTATTAAGGAAGGCTGCAAGCAAAAATCAAGGAACTATGGACCAGTGAGCCTAAGGTCAGTGGTGGGTAAGTTGTTGGACAGACAGGATTTATGTGCATTTGGAAAGGCAAGCACTTTCGGTTAGTCAGTTTTATGTGTGGAAAATTGTGTCTGAGTTTTTTTAAGAGCTGATCAAGAAGATAGATGAAGGCAGCGCGGTAGACATTGTCTACATGGACTTTAGCAAGGCCTTTACTAAGGTTCTGCATGGTCATCTAGTTAGTAAAGTTAGAACGCATGGGATCTAGGGAGAGCTAACCAATTGGATACAAAATTGCTTGATAGTAGGAGATAGAGGATGGAGGTCGAGAGTTCTTATTTAGACTGAAGGCCTGTGACTAGCTGTGGGCCGCAAGGACTGGTTCTGGGTCCACTACCATTTGTCATTTATATAGAAGGCATGATTAATAAATTTGTGGCTGACACCAAAATTGGTGAAATAATGGATGTGAAAAAGGTTACCTAAGAGTATAACCTGATCTTGTTCAGATGGGCCAATGTGCCAAGAAGTGGCAGATGAAGTTTAATTTCGATAAATATTGCATTTCGATAAGACAAATCAGGGCAAGACTGACACAATTAATGGTAGGGCCCAGGGGAGTGCTGGCGAACAGAGAGACCGAGGGATACAGGTACATAGTTCCTTGAAAGTGGCATCACAGGTAGACAGGGCAGTGAGGAAGGCATTTCGCACGCTTGTCTTCATTGGTCAGAGCACTGAGGATAGGAGTTGGGAAACAAAACAGAAATTGCTGGAAAAGTTCAGCAGGTCTGGCAGCATCTGTGGAGGAAAAAACAGAGTTAACGTTTCGGGTCCGGTGACCCTTCCTTAGAACTGTTCTGAGGAAGGGTCACTGAATCCAAAACGTTAACTCTGTTTTTACCTTCACAGATGCTGTCAGACCTGCTGAGCTTTTCCAACAATTTCTGTTTCGTTTCCTGATTTACAGCATCCGCAGTTCTTTCAGTTTTTATAGGAGTTGGGATGTCATGTTGTGACTGTACAAGATATGGGTAAGGCCACTTCCGAAATGTTGTGCACAATGCTGACTGCCCTGTTATAGGAAGGATGTTGTTAAACTGAAAAGGACGCAGAAAACATTTACAAGGGTGTTGCCGGGACTGGAGTGTTTGAGTTATAATGAGAAGCTGGACATTTTTCCCTTGAACATTGGAGGCTGAAGGGTGACCTTCCAGAGGATTATAAAGTCATGAGTGGCATGGATAGGGCAAAAGCCAAGGTGTTTTTCCCAGGGTAGGGGAGTCCAAAACTAGAGGGCACAGGTTTAAGGCAAGAGGACAAAGATTTAAAAGGAGCAACTTTTTCACACGTGGTTCATATGTGGAATGAACTGCTAGAGGAAGTGGTAGATATGGGTACAATTACAACATTTAAAAGACATTTGGACAACAACATGAATAAGAAAGGTTTAAAGAGAAATGGGCCAAATGCAGGCAAATGGGATTAGTAAAGTTTAAGATACCTGGTAGGAATGCTTGAGTTGGACTGAAGGGTCTGTTTCTGTGCTTTATGACTCTATGAACTGATGGCAGCATACTCTTCAAGGGGGATACCACTTGTGATGCTATTGCACAGTAGCAGTATGAAACAGCTGATATTTTAAAATCAGCAACACTCGATAACTGTAGTGTGAATTTCACACATCGGTTTGTTACCAGCTATTAAGGAATTCCAGAGTTCAAACATAGTGATGTCATCAAATAGGTTAAGCAGCCAATCACAATGAAGCACTATCACACAGCAAAATATAAAGCCCCGTCATCTACTTTTTCTGAGATTAAGTAAAAACTGAAATATCACAAGTTCATACAGAATAGGAGTAGGGCTAGGGCATTCAGCTTGTCCAGTCTGCAGTCATTATGATCATAGTTGATCTGATATAGCTTTAGCTCCACTTTCCTGTCTGACACCCCATAATTCTTGGTTCCCTGGTGGATTAAAAATCTATCCAACACAGCTTTAAGTATTCATTAGCCCAGCCTACACTTCATTGAGGAAGTAAATACCAAACACTAATGACCCTGAACAAACTTTAAGAGACTAAACATCAGTGTAGAGTCATAGAGTCATACAGCACAGAAACAGACCCTTCAGTCCAACCAGTCCATGCCAACCATAATCCCGACCTAAACTAGTCCCACTGGCCTGTGCTTGGCCCATTTCTCCCAAACATTTCTTATTCATGTACTTATGCAAATGTCTTTCAAATGTTGTAACTTGTACCTGTATCCATCACTTCCTCTGGAAGTCCATTCCACACACGAACCACACTGTGTTTAAAAAAAAATTGCCTTGTGTCATTTTAAAACTTTCTCCTCTCACCTTAAAAATATGCCCCCTGGTTTTGAAATCCCCCACCCCAGGGGAAAGACACCTGCCATTCACCTCATCTATATGCCTTGTGATTTTATAAACCTCTATAAGGGCACTCCTCAACCTCCTATACACCAGTGAGAAAAGTCCCAGCCTATCCAGCCTCTAATTATAGCTCAAATCTTCCATTCCTGGCAACATCCTGGTAAATCTTTTCTGAACGCTCTCCAGCTTAATAATATCCTTTCTGTAACAGGGAGACGAGAACTGGACGCAGTACTCCAGAAGAGGCCTCATCAACATCCTGTACAACCTCAACATGATGTCCCAACTCCTACACTCAAAGGTCTGAGCAATGAAGGCAAGAGTGCTAAAAGTCTTCTTAACAACCCTACTCACGTGACATAAACTTAAAAGAATTCTGTACCTGAACTCCTAAGTCTCTCTGCTCTACAACACTATGAGACTGTTCGCAGGTTAAGGAACGTCTGATAAGTGGGAGGCTTTCAAAAATATGATAACGAGACTTCAGAATCATTATGTTCCTGTTTGAGTGAAAGGCAAGGCTGGTACAATAAGGGAACAATGGATGAAGAAAGATATGGAGGTCCTAGTCAGAGTAGAAAAGAATCATATTAGATATTTCGGGGCCCCTTCCAGAAATATTTGTATCATCTATATCTACAGGTGAGGTGCCGGATGACTGGAGAGTGGCTAATGTCTTTGTTTAAGAAGGCATGTAAGGAGAAGCTTGTAAACTATAACTATAATTTAAGGCTTCTACTTGTTCAAAGTGTCTCCTATTTCATCATTCCTCATGATATTTGCTGCTATTGTACGATATTGTTTCTACATCAAGTCTCTATCCCTTCAGGACCTGAACACAAGTAGTCCAGGCTGACACTCCAATACAGGACTGAGGGAGTACTATGCTGTTGGAGATGCTGTCTTCCTGCCCTCTCAGGCGGACATGAAAGATCCCATTATTCTATTTTGAGAATAATCACAGGAATTACCCCATGCAATATTATCCTTTATTCGACATTATAAAGCAAAGAGTATCTGGTTATTACCATAGTTACGCCAATTAGACATGGAGAGATCTAAATTGTTTTAAAAGCTATAATTTCTTCTTTAAACATTTAAAATGAACTTTGCTCGAAAACATGGTCAACGCCAAATATGTATTTTACCACAATTTCCAAAACGTTCCAGCAGTAATTATGTAGCACAAAAGTCATAAACATCCTGGAATGTCACACACCTGCCCTGTGTGGATTGTGCAGTCCACAAACTTCAAGGAATCAGTGACTAAGAACAAAGAAAGACTTATTAACTAATTCTGCCTGAAGTGGTGCCAATGGGCCTAAATGTTACTTCATTGAAGGAATAATTTCCTTGGTCAAATCAATAGAAATCACCTTGTTAAAACTGAAACAGATTAATCCAGGAATGTGTTAAATGACCATTGTCTTAAACAACATTTAATTGTACAATTTCTGAACCCATGATTCAATGTGGTAAGGAACAAACTGCTGTGAACATCATGATAGTCTGATAAGAACTAACTGCCAGACTCCATACTTAGGTAAGTCTACCACCAACCTAAATCTCCTTTGAAATCTACTTTAGAAGAAACCTAGTATCCGGGAGAAAAAACAGACACCAATTTCATCCAACTGTGTCTTCATCAACTTTGGAATGTTTGCAGGAATTCATAGAATCCTAGAGTGAATTTTAATGGAGAAACCAAAAATTCCTCAAATATACTTCATAACTGGAGATTCCCCATTAATAATTAAGATATAAATCCTGTTGTTCCTTATTCTATAAATGTCTAACTCTGAATTTCACAGACTTTCATATTAACTTGTAAAATTGCAAGTAATTTCTGTTGTCACTTGGGCAGATGAGGGCAGGCCCTGTAGCAGAGAAGGAATCCACTGACAACAGCACTTGAATTTCCCTCAAATAAAAGCAAAATACAACACAACAAAGCACAACACAAGCTCCACGAACAACAGCTCGTTTTCTGTTTATGCACTTTACAGCCTCAAGGTCTCAATGTTGAATTTAATAACTTCAGAAACTGGTTGTATTATGCCGGTTATCCATTTTTCTTACATTCTCTCCCCTTTAGAGTCTCAAAATTTTGTTTGTGCCTTGTTTATTTTGCTCTTAGTACATTGAACCCATTCCCTCTCTTTCACACCTTTATACACATTTTACATCTATTTTTCCTTTCTCCACCATTAACAACTCCTTTGTCTTTTGCACTGGGTCTGTGGCCCTGTCAAAAGTATTAAAGTTTCCAACACCTTTCAGTTCTGAAGATGAGTCATACTGATTTCAAAACAACTCTGCTTCCCTCTTCACATTTGCTGCTGGACATGCTAAGTTTCCCTGAATTCTCTGTTTGTTTCTAAACTTTCATGTTTAATCATGGATGTCAGATGTTGCTGTCAGTTTCACAGAGGAATGAGGAATCGCTCTAAACAGCCAGTTCAGCACTGCAAATACCTTTAATATTCACAAATTCTGAAACAACAATAACTTGACGGAGCCTCATGAAATTCCTCCCACCCAAATTTGCAGTCTTTGTTGGTGATGGAAAAAGTGCAGCTTGTGCTTATGAACGTTTATATGTATGTACAGATGTTGGAGGGGGGGAAAAGAACATTCTCAATGCTGCCCTCATCCTGTGGAATGCTCTAAGTAGTTGGGTTGTTCCGTATCACCTGTTCTTCATGGAAAAATTTACAAAGAAAAACAACTTTGACCATAAGTCCATCAGGAAGTGGTCAGCGTGTAGTGTCCTTGAGACCCTTCGAGAAAAGGAGAGGGTGGATCCTGTCATGTGGTTCCCTGAGCAAACTGTCAAAGTCATTTGGCAGAATGCCTCATCACCAGAACTTGTCAACAAACACCCAGACATCGCGTGACTGGTGTTGAGAAGGGCACTACCTGTGAGATTCTTCTTGTATGCCCAGTCTGTCTATGCCACCACATACTGTCATTGAAGCAGCTGCAGGGGGGAGAGTGGTGGTGGATAGAGACCATCACACATCTCCTGCTGGAATGTGCCTTCGCAAAGGCAGTCTGGAGAAAGGTGCAGTGGCTTCTGTCAAGATTTATCCTGAGCAGCTCCATGACGTAGGACCCTGTGCTCTACGGTCTGTTCCCCGGGACGCACACCGAGACAAATATCCACTGTGCCTGGAGGACCATCAGCTCGGTGAAAGACACTCTTTGGTCTGCTTGAAACTTGTTGGTCTTCTAGAACAAGGAGTTAACCCCAATTGAGTGTTGCAGACTGGCACTTTCCAACGTTCGGGACTACGTACTGAGGGACGGACTAAAACTCAGGGCAGCTTCCACCAAGGTGCAGTGGGGAAAGACCACTGTCGGAGGTCTTCCTGCCAAAGTTAAACGGGGACCTGTTCAGTTATCAGACCTTCCCAATATAATCTTACACAAGTAAGAGATGCCTTTGGTTTGTTTGTTGAATAGGGTCAGACTCTAATTTTTGGTTTGTTTTTTCTTCATATACAACTGTACAGAACTGAACCACTTTAGTGACTATGTATGTATATATATTTATGAATAAAGTATATTTTTGTAATTAAAAAATGAATGTAGTATTTAACGCACATCACTTCAATCTGTTTCACATTTGCAAAAAAAGTTTAAAAAACATACTTTAAAAAGAACAGAACAGTGCGGACGATTGAAGTCTGAATCAAAACTGCGAAAATACTGCTGTAATTTTTATCTTAGTAAAAATGCAGTGTTGATAACATTTCAGACGTATGAAACAGGAAAGCAAAATCTGGAAATCTAAAAAGAACAAAAACGGAAAGAACACTCTGCAGGTCTGCGAACACCTGTGTATGGAGAGGAACACCGTTTCCAGTCAATGACCTGAAGCTGTGAACTATTGAATGTTTACATTTTGCTCTGCCTAGACTTACTTCCCGGCTTCCTCATAGTATTGACAGGCGGGACACTAACACCGCACAAATAAATTGGTTTTTTAAATGATATATTTTCGATTTTTGATTTTCAAGTGTTGTTTCTTTTACATTGCGAGGCCACACTTACCATATCCTATCAGCAGGTACTTGTGTTTGAAGTATCTGATTTTCTGAGTGTAGGACTGAGAGCCCGAGTCCGTTTCGCTCCAGTGGACGTCCTTTGGCGTGAATTTTAAGAGCTTTCACCTCGATCTGAGCGTTGACCTCGACAATGATCCGCCCAGAGACCCATTCCCCGCAGCTGTAGGTCGGCACGTTGTTGTCCACGGCGCGGTCGTAGAGTATTGTAAAATTCGTCACTTTCCCCATTGCTGCGGCCGAGCTGGGGAGATTTTAAACTGAGATCGTTCCCCTGCTAATTCGGTGCGATCTGACGCGGTTTTGGGCATGTCCCTTCGTGAACCGATCGGTAAACACACCCTTCCCTCTCTCTGTTCGGAGTTACTGTGAAAGTGAGCAGCTCCACAGTGCCACTTTGCTTACGTTTGGAGAAACTGACATGACGGAGCTATTGTATGGTTTCAGAACCCCTGCTCATCGTCATTTCTCGTAATTCTGAGAAAAGGAAACACAACTCCATAACAATCAGAGATAGTAAGAACTGCCGATGCTGGAGTCAAAGGTAACAACACAGTGTGGAGCTGGACGAACACAACAGGCCAGGTAGCATCAGAAGAGCAGGAAAGCTTACGACAGGCACGCCTCAATTTTACGAAGTTCCGTCTTTTATTCCCAAAAGAAGCGATCGAACGGGCACCACTCGTTACATAGCTGAGCTCCCAAAACAAGGCGCTTAGGGATCAGAATAGACAATTAAGCTCTGTCACATCCTTGGAGTTAGCGTGTTAAATGTGTGCAGCCTCTGTTCCCTGCCTACTGGCTTCAGGAATTGCTTCTGGTTAGGGATGCATAAAGCCTTCTGCCCCCTCTTGCACTTCTTAAAAAAAAGAGATAGGTGTAACGTGCTTACAAGAAGTAGTGGAAAGGTAATCCTCTGATATGTTCCTTTGAGAATGGCTGAAGGTGCTTTTCGATTATTGTTTCGACTCGCTCAGCCGTAGGCGCTCACTGGTATACTCTCATCTTATTTCAAGGACTAGCCCAGCCGCATATGTTCATACCCTGAAGGAGACAGTGTTGTAGTTGTGGTTAGTGAAGTGGTTAATCATGAGGGGTGTTTAGCTTTAGATCAGTTGATTTACGTGGAGGTGGAAGTCACCCAGGAAGCTTCTAGAAGAACGTTTCAGCATAGAGTTAGGAATCAAACGGAAAAAGTTGGGTTGATTAAGAAGGGATAATAGGAACTGCATTTCTGAAGAAAGGTCTAGGCCCGAAACGTCAGCTTTCCTGCTCCTCTGATGCTGCTTGGCCTGCTGTGTTCATCCAGCTCTACACCTTGTTATCTTTGATTAAGAAGAGTCAGCTTTGGATTTTCAAAAATAGGAAATTGTGTTTAACTTGAATGGAGGTATTTCGTGGAAGAGCTAACAGAAGCTTCGATAAGGATAACGCAGTTGATGTGGAATACATGGATTTCCAGAAGATGCTTGTTACTGTACCACATAACAGACTTGTGTGGAAAAGTTATTGGTCATGGTACAAAGAGGGGGCAGAAGGCAAGTGGATATAAAATTGGCTGATAGATAGGAAAAGAACAAATAGTCAATGAATACTTTTCTGGATGGACGGAGGTTTGTAGTGGAGCACCTCTGGGGTGGCATTGGGACTTTTGCTTTTCTTATATATTAATGAATGGGATCTTGGTTTGCAGGACAATTTCAAAGTTTGCAGATGACATACAACTTGGAAGAATTGTGAATTGTGAGGAGGCCTGTGTAGAACTCCAGAAGGACATTGAGTAGGTGCTAACGTGGCATCTGAGATTCAATGTAGAGAAGAGTGAAATGATGCACTTTGGTTGGAATAATAATGAAAGACAATATAACATGGGGGTGCATTTTTAAAGGGGGCAGAGGATGTATAAGTGCACAGATCTTGGAAGGTGATTGGACAGGTGACGTATGGTGTTCTCAGCTTTATTATTAGAGGCATAGATTACAAGAGCTAGGAAATGATATTTAACTCGTGTAAGACACCTGTTAGACCTCACCTGCAGTATTATTGGCATTTGTGGGTTCACATTATAGGAACTATGTGAATGCATTGGAGAGAGTACAGAAGAGATTTACAAGTTTGGTTCCAGAAATGAGAAACTTCAGTTATAAAGACAGATTGAAAAAGTTGTGATTCTATGAAAGCTTTGCCCGTGCTACTTGCTTCCCTCATTTCCTGATTACTATCATGTCCCCCCACTACCACTATTATTTGGTGACCTATAAATAACTCCATCAAATGTCCACTGCCCCTTGCTGTTTTAGGTCTGCCCAAAGAAATTCCACATAATATTCTTCAGATTGGAGATTCTCCTATACTATGTACTGATCCCATTTCTTATTATTAGTGCAACTCCAGCTCCTTTTCCTTCTTGTCTGCCCTTCCTAAAATTTTCAATATCCTTGAATATTCCGTTCCTAGTCACAATGCAGCCACATATCTATTGACTTCTTTTTGTGTCTTTTGCCTTGTTGTGACTGCTTTGTGCACTGCACTGTGACATCCTCAACCGTGGCACCAAGCAGGCAACACTCCTGCCTGGAGCCAGGTTTAATGTTGCAGAAACAGCGCCTGAGTATGGAATTCCTCTGTCACTATTGCCACCATTCTTCATACCCTCCCACCCCCATTACTATGCTGTCAGCACTCACCAGTGAGAATCTTGTCTTGACGCCTGGAACTTAGTTGCAATACAAAAACAAAGTTGCTGGAAAAGCTCAGAAGACCTGGCAGCATTTGTGAAAGAAAAAATACAATTTGTTGCTCTCACCATCAACAAAGGTCTCACTTGCCTTCTCATGCAATTCTTCCATATTTCTTACTGTAGCTCATACTGTCCAAGGCTTGGGAAGATTCTTCCCCTTATTCCAGGAATGAATTGCTTTTACATTTTAAAGTTATCCCTTTAAAGTTTTCTTTTTACTTTTCTCTTCACATCGTTTCCTACAAGATTGGGTCAACTCCACAGCTTCACAATATCCACAGATGGGACAAGAAGGACAGGTCTCAGATCTACCCCTGCTGCAACCAAGAATGATCTCTGTGCTGGTGCCACCAAATCTGAGCCAGCCAACTACTCCGAGGAAACGAGTTGCTGTGGCAGTGTCCACAATTACATGCGTGTTGTTGCCTGGAGCTATGGACAATGATGGTAGAGGCTCCAATTTTTTTCCATTACATGCTTACAAGGAATCTCTCTTACACTCACACTCTGCTATTGGCATGTCATTTATAAGTTGACACTCAACCCATTTGATCACATTATGAATGCACCTTCCCTGCACACCAAATCCTGCACTTCAACTTGAACCCGGAGCTGCTGGCTTGGAGACCAGGTGCTACCACTGCACCACAAGACCCTGATGCTGTGGTTCCTTCCTTCCACTTGTATTATTTCATGCAGTCCCTTACATCCTACATTCACCTTGGCTGGAATTGTTCACCATAATGTAATCTCTCAATAACACAGCATGGTGAACACCATAAAATCATGCAAAATGGAGGCTCATAGGCAAGAGATGAAAATTCACTTCTACAACATGGATCTTCTGGTTATAAATGGGCTGCATTGAGTGGAAGCAATTATTTAATGTTAATATGTGTGATGCCATTGACTAAAACAGCCGTATAGGTTCACCTATAAGCCTTTCATTCTCTGGGAATTCTTTTACTCAAAAACAAGAATGCTATTTGGCAATTGTTGGATTCTTAGTCAATGCATCTTGCTTTGTGATTTTATGATCACTATGAGAATGAAGTTTGTCAGGCATCATGACTTGTGTGTTCTCAGATGACTCAGCAGGCCAATCCTGGAACCATAGGTCTTTGAGCAGAGATGATGAAAGGTGCCCTGAGAAAGCGGTGTTCATAGGCCAGGATACTGGTTACTCTCCTTCTGCTTTTGTCACTTCTGTACCGTTATGGTTCAGCTTCCAAAAATATTGCAGCTTGCTGCATGAAGTGCTGACAAATGGAATGCAGCAAGAATAGCCCACCATGGAGAAGTTCTGCCCCTTTCTCTGACAGGATTTTCATTCTCATCTTTTCTCTTCTTCACCGTCATTACTTTCGTTATCACTTCTGGTGTTTAACAAGGTCTTTGCCAAAACACGCTTCCACAGCCACATCCCATTCCTCAGAGACTGCCTCCAGTTCCGACTCACCCAACGTGGATTCCAACTCAAGGTTCATCCTTGATGTTTTGAATCCACCCAGGACTACAGGTATCTCTGTGATGTACAATGCTCCTCAGGCAGCTGTTCATCCCAAGATCTACACACAGTGCCAAGTGTTACCATATGCATACGCTTGACCTCTCTCTTCATCATGTGGAGTTGCCGGTGTTGGACTGGGGCAGACAAAGTCAGAAGTCACACAACACCAGGTTATAGTCCAACAGGTTTATTTGAAATCACAAGGTTTTGGACTGCTGCTCCTTTGTCAGGTGGAGTGAAGGAGTGAAGAAAAGCACGCAGGCAGAGAATTCATAGGTTGAGAGATCGAAAGATCATACAAATGGTGTGGGTGGAGTGTCAACAGGCTGAATAATAAGTTTATGCAGGTGATTAAAAGTGTCAGATGGTAAATAACAAGTGGAGGGATGACCTACAGAGAGAAAAATACGACAGATGCTGGAATCCAAGTTAGACAACAGGAGGCTGGAAGAACACAGCAAGTCAGGCAGGAATGGAGAAGTCAACGTTTTGGGTACTACCCTTCTTTAGGACTGGATGTGGGGGTGGGGGGGGAGAACTGCAGATAAAGGGGAGGAGGGTGTAGCAGAATGGTGGTGATAGATGGACACTGGTAGTAGGTATGACATGGTTGGTCAATGGGAGGGATGAATCCAGTTGGTGGCTGGAAGGGAGGGTCAGACGGTGGAATGGAAGGGAGGAGGTGGGGCTGGAAAGGGAGCGGGGGATGGGTGGGAAGGTTATTTGAAATTGGAGAACTCAGTGTTGAGTCCTCCAAGCTGTAGGGTGCCCAGGCAGAAGATAAGGTGGCGTTCTTCAAATTTGCATACTGAATCACTGCAATGCTAGAGGAGACTGAGTATGGACATGTTGTAGGGGGGAGATGGGGGGTGAGTTGAAATGGTGGTGACTGGGAGGTTAGGCTGGCCATTACAGGCCAGATGAAGATGCTCGGTGAAATAGTAACCTACTCTACGTTTGGTCTCAGCAACATGGTCTCTACTCCAACATGTCCATCCATCCAACCAGGTCATACCTGCTACCAGTGTCCACCTATCACCACCATCCAGTATCACCCCTCTCCCCTCTTTATCTTCAGCTCCCCCAAACGTTGACTTCTACTTTTCTGCAGATGCTGCCTCCTTGCTGTGTTCTTCCAGCATCCTGTTGGTCTACAAGGAATGACCTACAATCTGATTAACTGATGCAAAGAGATAATTACATAAAATTAAAAATAAGGTGGTGCTGGAGACAAACCAAATGGCTAGAATAACATGATAGGTGTAAGAATTGCATACCAAGGATCTAACCAAAGTAAAATGTAATACAAACTAGTTAAGGTAGAGAGATCATTACAAATTATCAAAGTGACGGTGTCAAAACAGGACAGTAAGGAAGATTTTACAGAAACAGAACAGTACCGTGGGGTTGCATGTAGCGGGACATGAACCCAAGATCACAGTTGAGGCCATCCTCATGGGTACAGAACTTGTGTATCAGTTTCTGCTCGGCAATTCTGCGTTGTTGTGTATCTCGAAGGCCATCTTGGGGAATGCTTACCTGAAGATCAGAGGCTGAATGTCCTTGACCTTGTTCCCTGACTGAGAAGGAACATTCCTGTCTGGCAATTTTTGTGTGGTGTCCTTTCATCTGTTGTTGTAGCATCTACAATGTCTCGCCAATGTACCATGCCTCGGGGCATCCTTGCCTGCAGTGTATGAGGTGGACAATATTGGCCGAGTCACATGAGTATCTGCCTTGTGTATGGTGTGTGGTGTTGTGTTGGTAGTGTCCATGTCGATGATC